ACACACACACACACACACACACACACACACACACACACACACACACACACACACACACACACACACACACACACACACACACACACATTTGAATGAGCAGCTCTTTGAGCTTTCAGCTGTGACCAGTTCATGTTATCCATAATCTTTAAGAAACAAACTATACATTCCATTGATTCCATTTGAATGAATTATCACTGCACGAACTACAATAATCTGTTTCATTTTCAATAACTGAAACACAATTTTTAAGGTGAAATGATCAGTCAGGTTATCAGTTGTCACTATTTCAATGATCACCATCATAACTTTCAATCACATATTTGTTCTTCTTGGATTTTTCTTGTTCTTATTCTTTTAGATGATTATAAATGGTCACTTTTACATTTCCGCACATATGAAGATGTCTAATAAGGCATCTTTAAACAAAATGGTTAATTGATTTTCCAATTGTTTACTAAGTAATATAATCCCGAAATATCTGAGCTGGCATTTCAAAATACTTGAGAGTATTTGTTTTCCCTTTTTCCTTCGCTTCCTTCTCTTCTCTACTTCTTCTCCTCTCAGTCCTGATGAATACGTTTTATTGGTGACACAGTGCATCTCTTCTTCTTACTGTCCATCTTTGGCTTGATGCCTCCTCCTCAACCCTGGTACAGACTGGTGGCCCGTGTCAGCATCATAACCACACACACACACACACACACACACACACACACACACACACACACACACACACACACACACACAAACAGAGACACAGAGGATCCATGTGCGGGCCCCACCCACCCCACTTGCACTCCACCATACACCTCATCCATCTATCCATCCACTTCATCTATCAGCTCCTGGTGGCATGTACAGCTTTCAGTCTTTCGATAGCGCTCGAGATGCTCTAGTGGTTTGCCATTTATTAGGGACACTGTATGCCAAGGTATTGGCTTGACAGGATGATACATGTCAAACAGACGGCTGTGTTGGTCAATAAAGCTAAGTTTGAATGGGCTTTGATGAAGAGGCAGGAGGGTGTTTGCTGACAGCTGGCCTCACTGTGAGACGACCCTGCCTGGGTGTCATGTCACTATTTGACAGCCAAATCTGTTTGCGTTGAGGCCTGTTCGTGGAGCGATTTGTGGGGGAGTAGACAGATAGATAGACAGGCAGACAGTCAAACAGTGCGAAGCTTTGCGTGTTGACTGGCTATAGTGGATTTTACTCCCTTGTCATATTCCTCCCCTTCTCGTGCTACTTCTCTATCTAGCCATGCCTCTCCCTTTAATTGATGGTTTGCTGGTGTTGCTGTCGGTTAGAAAATTAACATTTGTTTGCTTGTCAGTTAGGGAACTGAAAGAGTATGCTCTGACAGCGATGTGTACGAAGGAACTTCATCCGTGTGTATGTGTGAGTGTTTGCGTGTCACTTTGTTAGTATCGCTCTCCTCCTCCAGTTGGAGCTTAAAACATTGTGAGTTTTATCTGGTCGCCATGGTAACGGGTGCGATCCGGCGGGCGGAATGAGGAAGGTGTGAGGATGCATCGCTGCCTGATTTTTATAAGTGCATCACCACGGTTCATCTCCACCATACTCACACATGTGCACGCACGCACACACATACAGAGGACATATCAGCATATGTAGCATCTTTCTTTCTTTATTTCCTGCATTGCAAACTGTATAGTCCATCATCCATGGTCTGGATTAGGATGACAAAGCACTGTGTGTGACTTGTCGGTGACACTATGTGCCTGTGTGATATATATATTATTATAATAAACCTGTTGGCCACTCTGTTAACAGGGACAACAGCCAATATCTAGGAGCTTCCAGTGTAGAAGGCAGATATTTGAGCCAACACTTCCTAATCCGTCCAGCAGAGAGTTTATGAATGCAGGTACATTAACAAAGCTGTGTAAATTTTGCTCTCTACCTGCATGCAATCAAACCCCGCTTAAAGATGATTGGTCGTTAGAGGTTCAGTTGCAAACACACCTTGGATACATATTATGCATGTATTGTTATCGAGAATAGCTAATAACTGACCTAAAACCATACAGCAGAATTGTCAAGCATATGTCAGTTTACTTTAAGTATTTTGGAAATGCATGCCAAAGTTTTACACGTTTGCACTGTAAAAGCTTGGGTTTTATATGGTGTGATCATACTTTTCCTTTGAAAGATGATCAGTTTTTCTCCTGCCATCCTGTAACTATATGTATTTTCTCACTTGTGCATGTTTTCCTATAATCCCAGAATGTGTCCCTGATTTCTACATCAGGCTTGTGTCAGGGGCATAACACTTGTTGCAGCACTCGAAAGGGCCAAGGAAACAAAAATGCAATGTGCAGCCTTAGATGTTAATTTTAATCTTAATTTTAATAAATGATTGCCATGGGTTTAATTGTATTTGTGGGAAAGGAAATGTCCAAAAGTAAGCAACACATTCAACAATATCATCAGCATCTGTGATTGGACCATGATGTAGACATAACCCCAAACTTCAGGATTTTATGTTTCTTATAGACCTGCTTTTTCTCTTTCTCACTTTCTGTTTTACCTCTGCCTCCTAGGGTTCTCTTACTGCTTGACTTGACATTTATTCCTCTCAAGTGCTTATCAGGCCCACTTGATCGCCTCTTGTTTTGCATCATTATTTTTCTTCACATTCTGCTGTTTTCAGTGTGTCTGCCCTCTTCCTTTACTAAAATACTGAAGTTAAAATAGAAATATCAAAGTTTGCCAAAAGACATTTACAGGAATGGTCTTTATTTTATGTAATAGCTACACATGAAGTCAGTGTAGTCTTTTTAATGTTCCTTTCTTTTGTGAGGCAGCTGAGTCAGTTCTGCAAACTGTACACACTTAGATATAATGTGCTTGCTTCATTAGAGCCAAAGAAACTACAGCTTATTTGAATTACACATTTACATACTGTGGTTGAATGAACTATTCAGGTGGCATCTGAGTAGCATGCTTCATTAAATGTTAATGAGAACATTGTGAGTCATATTACAGCATTAAACCAGGGTAAGGGATAAAGAGATTAACACACACAATTAAGTTGTTTTCGTTTATCTTAAACAATGTATGGCTTCTTAAAGAACAATCTTTATTAGTATGAGAAAGAAGACACTTGCAATGTTACAATATTTTTGAAAATTGTAATAGATTGAACAAGCAAATAGAGTCACAGAACAATACTAAGTGATTGATTAGTTGATATCGCGGGAGATAACAACAGAAAGCGTAAACATCGAGGGTGAAGAGGGTGTGGAAAAGTGTGACGTCTGTGTTTTTTTGCATTGATTGAGGCTGTTTAATCCCCCTTCTCTTTCACACACACTGCCTCTCTCTCTGTGAAGTGTAGCGTCACCACAGCTGCAGTAGCTTCTGTCCCAGTCTCCATTTTGTAGCCACTCCGCAGAGGACCTGTACTCTTCCCACCCCTCTGTCTTTCCACTTTTAACTTTATCCCTCTCCCACCCTTCTTTTCTAGAGGCACTTATTAGGAAATAGTGAAGTGACAAAGCATCGTCTTTTTTTCTTCCACTCCATCAGGCCTGAAAGTGAACAACAGATAGGCTGAAAAATGGCAGAATAGGCAGAAAAAGAGAGAGACAAAGTGGCACA